CACAACCCCCCGCACTTTTTCTTCAATAAAAACTGGGTGCTAAATGGAAGGTGGTATTAGGCCTTGATGTGGGAGTAAAAGTTGTGGTGGTTATGATACAGACTTTTAGTAGCAATAGGACTTTTTTAAAATACTGATTGTGCGAGAAAACTCATAGCTTGTTAGCAATTTATTGCAATGCACACTGCTGTTTTTTTTTCACGAATGGTTCTACTGTTTGTTCCGCCGATTTTTATTTTTGATTTATTCAATTAGTCTTAAAGTTTTAAAAACTTAAAGTATAGATGTTGGCAGCTTTGTATTATAGACAGAAAGGCTCTCAACCAAATGAGGAAAAAGAGGAATTATCCGCAAGGAATAGTGAGTTAGAAGATCATGCAAGTGTCGAGAAAAATAGTAAATCAGAAGATAACTTAGTAAAAAGCGTAGATTCAGGAAAATCTTCGCGTAGTAAGCACATTCCCTCTTCATGCAGCCGTACTCAGACGCCAAACAATTCATGTTATGAAAAAACTGAATATACTAATAATCCATTCATAATGGATGGTGCTTTACAAATGAATTATCACCCAGAGAATATAATCCACACAACAAAATTATTACGCTTCTCAAATAAAAAATCACTTGAGAATTCTAATCGCATTAGAAATGAGTTGGATGAAGCTATTGGTGGGAAATATATAAGCTGTCCTTCTGTAAATGATGAGTTTTTACATGCAAAACGATTAGCTTTTCTCGAGACGCTTTTTAATGGTAACAATGCAGTGCAAATACCACCTAGATTTGATATTGAAAAATCTAGGGAGTCTCTTTGCACTGGTGTTACTGGTATGTTTGGAGGTAACTATTCTGATGCTATCAGAGAACTTCAAACGGTATGGAATCGCTTGAAATAATATTACTAGCATTTATTTTAACCTTATTATTTGTCCTGCTTATTTGTTTGAACATTTTTTAATTTTTATTGATCACCTTCGTTTTAAATATCAAATTTAATCTTCCAATGTTTTCATATTCATTTTCATTTATTGAAACCTTTTAAGCTTTATGTATATAAAATTATTCCCTTATTTTAATTACCTTTAGCGTTCATAATGAGAAAATTCCGACTCTTAGGAAAGATATCTCTAGCACGATTTTTTACTGTTCCGTGGAAATCAAATTTACCATCCTCCGAAGATCAGAATTGGAAGAATATTGGCAAGAAGATTGTCAATGTTGCGCAAAATTGCGATACAGGAGAGGCAGCTTTTAATGAATGTTGCTTGGCACGTGAGCAATTGGAATCTGTTATTCAATCTGTGGGGTATGATATGAACGTCTCTATTTTTGGAGGTCTTATTACCCTCAAAATATTCGAAGTTGGTGGAGACGTCGATTTTGTCGGCGTATCCGATATTGAGCCTGGAACCGAGGAAGCTTCTGAAATAGTGAAACGTGTTGCGAGTGAATTGAACTATTTAGGTTTAAAAGCCTGGCCTCTTCCAAAAGCGCGTGTACCGGTTTTGAAAGTAGACCGGATTAGTAAGTCCTTTCCAGGCTCACCCCTTCATAATCTTTCTCGTGATGGTGTATTTCAGTTTATTCGTCAACTTAACAACACCGAAGCAGAAGATTTCACGAATTTAATCAAAGAAAATTATGGTGCCAAAGAGGTGGAATGGGACAGCATGTTCAAGTTCGCTACAGCTAGATTTAATAGCACCTCTTCATTAATGTATGCCCTCCCTCATGCGAAATCTCAAAATAAAAACATTATTCTCAGCCTTCCTGTGGACATTCGGTACGGACCCGAAATTTATCGCTTTCCATTTGATTTTTGTCTTTCGTCTACAGGGTTGCGAAATTCATACCTCCTTGGTGAAGCTCTTTTCAAGTATCCTTACTCAAGGCATCTTTTGTTAATCTTAAAAAAATGGGGTCGCGCATGTGGGACTATCAACTCTATTGATGGGCTTCTTGCAAGCTATGCATTAACTGTGATGTTGGTACACTTTCTGGTTAAAGTTGAGATAATTCCAATAGTATCTACAGAAAAAAATGCATGTGAGCCTCATTTACTAGAAGTAACACCCCGATATCAATCATTGGCATCTGGTAAGGATGGTGATATGGCACAAGTAGGGTTTTTATTTGCTTTATTTCTTGAATACTTTGGCAATATTTTCGACTATACAAACAATGTGGTTTGTACAAGTGATATGAATTTGACTAAAAAATCAATGGGCTGGGATAAACTTGATAATACAAATGGTAAGCCACCTTTTTTTGAGTTTGGTATAAAGGATCCATATGGAAAAGAAAATATCGGACGTAATTTAGATTTGGAATCCACCATATTTGTTCAGGAGGCACATATCAGTGGACTGAGGTGTTTATTGGAGAACTTTAATGATCCCGACACCTCAGTCCACATATTAACCCAAAAGCCACCAATACCCAAACGCACCACATTTCCCTCTATTAGGAAAAATACTAATCCCAATTTTCTCACAAAAAATCAGCTTGAAGCCAAACAAGCACTCGGTAAAATGCGCTTTCACGAGCGCAAAAAGTCAATTGAAAATTTTGGCAAAAAAGCTATTAAAAATGCGGAAAATCAGGATGCCGCTTCAAGGGTTACAAAGGATATTTTAGGATGGATTCGAAATAGTGGGAGCAACTAATGTGCTTATTTTATCAAAAATTCAGACTTCATAAGATTGATTATCTGTAGCATTTTTTCCAGTTAAAGATTATTTTCAAATCACCCTCCGAATTTTTTTTTAATGTAAATTTCATTGTAAATGCTCTCTAAATATCATTATTCTTCCATTTAGTTATCAAAAGCAAATACTTGTTTTATTTTTTTATTAGATTTTTTTTTATTTTTTTCATAGTGAAATTACACAGGAATAGTTAATTCTATATTTAACAGTTTTGAATACGTTTATATTCATTTTTTTTGCCTATAGTGAATGTCAGATTTGCTTTACAAAATCAAATGGGAAGAGCCAGAAGTCCTTGTGCCTGGTAACCACAGCACTGAGCCTGATAGTCAACCACCTTGGAAGTGTATTAGTGAAATTATCCCAGGCTTGTATTTAACTTGCGAACAGGAGGTTCGTAATAGACAAGTAGCCATTGAAATGGGCATGGCACTAATACTCAATATGTGTGCCTTAGAAGACATAGAAACTTATGAAGTTTATCTATTTGACGAAGGCGAAAATATTTTTTTGAATCGAGAAATCAAAGATTTTCAGCAGTTTGTTTATGAACTCAATGAGTATACATCTTACCTATCTGATAAAGATTTAGCGAAACGCAAGACATTTATTTATAATATACCTGCTGTTGACACTCCAAACTATTTAATAGAAAACCATTTTCCACTAACATCTGCGCTAATACGACTGGTGTTGTGCAATCGGACTTTATTGGAACGAAACAATGACCATTGGACTTACGAGCAGCTCCATGCGGTAGTGGCACATTGTATGGTTGGTGTTAGTCGCTCAGCTTCAATTGTCGCGGCCTACCTCATGAAAAAAGCAGGCATCACCAGAAATGATGCCTTATCCTTTATACAAATGGTCAGGCCGGTCGTTAACCCCAACAATGGCTTTCGGCATCAATTGCTTTTATGGGAGGCTACAAAAGGTCAGCGTATAGTTGACGAATTGTCTGCGCGACTTGTAGCCTCCCAAATCAACAATGAAGCAGAGTTGTTTAATTATATTTACCTACATTTGCCCCTTCTGTTGAAAAATAGCAAGTTTTATCAAGAAAGACAATATTTTGGTTTGGTTATATCGCTCACTCAACCATCACAAAACACATTAGTTTCTCTCTATCAGAAGTTTGAATCTAACGTGACTGAGGCAATAATATCGGAGGATTATACCGATATACCGAATTTTTTTGCTAATGTATCTGACATCATAAGCAGCTTACAGATTTATTGTGAAGATATTTTTGTTAATCTTTATGATTTTGACACTAAACTAATATTTAATGATTCTTTTTACTTCAAAGTTATAAAAAGCATTGCCTGCTCTGGGTTTATGAAAGAGATTTACGATACAGTAAGAGCCTTTTGTTTCACACTCAAAGAAGCGGATTTGAGATATTATCTCTCCGATAGAAATTTGTGTGTAAGTTTTCCCAAAGAGCTTTTTAAATTAGAGATTCCTAAAAACATGGTCGTTTCATTTCCTTTCCTAGCTTTTATTGCTCCATATGCAGAGGGTTTCATTAAGCCTCCAAAGTTGCTTAGCTTAGCCAGTGAGTTTCGCAATGCAACCAATGGGAGAAGTTTCATGAGAGCACAAGAATTTGCCGATATCATAAAAGAAGAATTTCTAGACATATTTTTGCTGTCATTGTCAAGCAAGAACACTGATTTTCTAAAGAATTCTTCATCAGCGATGGAATGTGAATTTAATATTTCTTTTAGCTTTCTTAAAAATGATTTGGAGATTCAGGTTTTGGAAACATTTAGAACGAATAAATCTGTTCCCTTTAATATTTTGATTTCATGTCTAAAAGAGCTTCACTGGCAGCTTGGACAGACATTAATCCTAAAGCTTGTGAGCGGTTTACTTGCGTTTCGTTTATTATTAGAGGCTGTTGAGCAGTTTTTGCTGCGTATCTGCGATAATAATCTCCCCAAAGGCATTCGTTTAAGTGAGCGTGAGTTACCACTAGCTCTGATCGATAGCTTTATAAAATGTATGGAGAGTTTATATATACAGCATTTTCATAAGCCATGTGGTATTGTTTCCTTTTTAAGGAGAGAGTTGGAACCACTTTTCGAAGTTGGTGTCCTTCAAGCCGACGGGCTGTGGTCTATACTGTAATAAGGAATGCGTATTGGTGTTAAATTTTCTTCCTATTCTCTTTGGAGATATCATGGTAAAAATTCAGTCACTGACTAGTAACGGACGCATGTATGCGCTCTATATTTTTATTAATGCTTCATAAGGATTGGGTAATTCTTCTGCTACGTTTAGTCACCAATAATAACAAAAAAGCGTGGCATGTTGCTGTAAATAAATTTAATGGTTAATCTAATGGTTCTCGATATATGCATAATTTATTTTATTGTTGATGAGTCAATTTCTTTTACTAAACCGCATTCTTTGTTATTATTGAAAGGAGGCTCAGACTTTGAGGAAATAGTACTTTGAAGGTTTAATTTTTAGTCAATGGCGTCAGACCTCCCAGAGGCAACTAGAAAATATTTTAGAAAAAGATTTGATCATTTTGATCGAGATGGTATACAGCGAGTGGATACGAAATTTTTGCCTAAACTAATTCGAATATGCGGGGGTATTCCTCTCGAGGCTGATATTGATGAGTTGAAGATGATCGCCGATCCGGGTGGACGGGGTAGCTTTGATTTCAATGACTTCTGCAAATCTCTCATGCGTTCTTTTCAAAACAGCATTTTTCCTGAATCTGTTGTTGAGGCGTTTCGCGACCTCGACCCTGAGTACAAGGGCTTTATTCCTCAGTATGAACTTCGATACCTTTTAACGACTTTGGGGGATGCACTGAGTGTTGAAGAAATTAATGAATTTACAGAAGAACTAAAAGTTAACTTGGATATGGAGGGAAACGTTGTCTATAGTGATTTAGTCTTCAAGATGACTCCAGAGATTCTTCGATGAGCTATTCGAAATTGTATGTCTCTACGACCTTGCATTTTCATGTAAATTAACAACTTGTCGTCAGCGCTATCGCACGCTAGCATCACAACCGTTTCTTAAGCTTTATATTAAAAATGTAAATTATTTACTTAATTATATTGTTTTATACCAAGCCATTGCGTTATCGATGCTTTCGAAACCTTGATATTTTACTTGTCTGTTATGGCGTTTTTTTTAGGTGAAGTAAATCAAGGTTACGTTTCTCAAAAGATTATTAAATACTTAATACGAGTAATCAACGATAATCACGAAAGGATGAGTACCAATCCTATCATATTGGAGGAAACCTTTGCAGTGACAGGGCTTAACACTGAAGGAACTGTGTATCTCCGTGTTTCTCGTATTCAGTGCTCAAATGAAAGCGGTACACTCAATATAGTTTCAGACATAAACACCGAGGAATTTCCTATATCGCTTAATGAGCGTCTTAGCATTGTTCTAGCCAACTCATTGGAGCTTTCCGGAGTGACCGCAAAAAAGAATTATGACCACAGTATTTATCATCGGGAAACTCGGTTAAATGACTGCGACTATGCCATGCATGGCCGCGTGTATTCCTTGGATATTGACAAAGACACCTTGGATGTAAAGGTGCATATTAGCTGCGGTGGGCTACTAACGCGTATTATTGGAAAGCTTCAGAGTTTGCGTGATATTCATTACAATAGTGATATATACATCTTGGTGAAGCGTGTTGGTCGATAAATTAATTTTAACTAAATAAACTCTGCGAATAAGCGTAATGCCGTGTAAATCGCCTTTTCCGAACAGTTTGTGAACGTTACATTTCATATGATGCACTTTATTGGTAGTGTTCTTTATTGTTTTTGTACTTAAAACTTTTTCCAACATGGGACACAATTTTCAATCATTTGACACTGTACGGAAATTTGTATAGGTCTTTTTTCCTTTACAAAAATATAGTTTCATTGAAGCACTTCTAATTAGAGGGATTTATATTTGCATGCATTGTATGCATATCTTTTTTTGCTCGTTTTCATAACACGCATTCTTTTTTTCTTTCAGTTGCCTCTTTTCCATCCTGCTGAATGGGAAAGAGCTCCAGTCGATGCGGGTGATATTGACCTTTGAGCGGAAAAATGCACCATTTTTAGTGACTTATCGCAAACCGAATTCACGTTATTTTTCAAGTAATGAGGATACGGTACCACCAAAGAAGGTTCTAACAGACGAAAAACATACACGCATAAGCTATCGTCGTTGTTCATCAGATCCACAAACGCTCCGTGAGAGAGAGGATTTTCGACGGGATACAAAATACGGCACTTATCGTCCGCTCCCTGATATCCCTTGGCTCCAGCTCAAACAAAAAACCTACCTGGACGATGCTGAGCGGCTTTACGGGCGAATGGAAGATTGGCATCGTATTACCGATGACGCGCTACGCGAGAAATTGGTAGCCATTTTACAAGACTACCTTCGCGACACCTGTGCGGCTACGAGGCTTGAGATGAAGGACGCCAAAAAGTACAAGTGGCTGTGTGAAATTTCCGCTCAGGACTACCGTTCTCATATCTTTGATGGGGCTTTTCATTCGGTCGGTAGGCTCCGAGAATGGGCATCTTCCGTGGCCGAACGGCAACTCGTGGTGAAAAAAGATAATCCGGTAACTAATGCGGTAAGCGATACGCAACCAAACTCGCAGGCGTTCGAACATTCGGCTTCATTCGATAAGGCACCATCTACTGGCATGGGCTTTAGGATGAATTTAGAGACAGACTCATCGTTCGAAACCGATCCTGAAAAGATTGACATCTCAGCTCAACAACAACAGGAGCGGCGTAAGCGCCGTGGGGAGGATGCGAAACTCGACAACACGCCCGCCCTGTCGGATCTTTCCGAGAGTGATCTACGGCGGTGCCCGGTATCGGCGTTTCCCTTTCTTCGCAGGCGTGCATTAGAGGATGAACATTCCCTCGATTCCTCTCTGGTAGATTGGACGGCGAAGTACTTCCCCGAGGACAACAAACACACTTTTGAGCAGCCTCCCAAGCTGCGTTATGACCCATCCCGCGCCACGGCGGGGGATTCAGCGCAAAACGAGTCGGATGGGGCGTTTGGCGACATTCGCCATGCCTCCCACTCCGCAATTGAGGAGAATTCAGATGAGGATAATCATCGCATTCCGCGGCATCATGCGCGTCATCGCCTCCAGCGTTCTCTTCGATCTCACGAGGATCGCCATCGTCCTACCTTCGATGGGGAGGGCGTCTTTTATCATATTCGTAATTTGTCAAATGAAGACGAGCGTGTACCAAAGGCAAGACCAGTCAGGGGCTCTGATTTCATGGCTCGTCCTGGAATGGGCTCAAAAGTGGTAAAGGTTCCGTGGAATGTGGTGTCAACGGCGAAGCAGCAGGGCCACAGCCACAATATTCTCAAAGCTAAGGAACGCCTCGCTCGTCTTTCTCGCGGGGAGAATCCTGGAACGATTCCATGAGTAATAATTGTATTACTAAAGTGAAAATTGCTTTAAGCAAAGAATCTTCATTTTAAGTATTTATTACATTTACTCTTCTCAAATATATATATACTTAAGTTTTCCTTCTAAAATCTTATATTTTTACTTTTTTATTTTTATTTTATGGTCCAAGATAAATTTCACATTCAAGGTGTAATTGCAATATTACGTACACTTCTAAAGTAAATTACTAAAAATCAGCACATGCGTTCCCTTTCCATACTCCGGAGTAATATCTACGAGGGTGTTATCACACAATTTTCTTCTGATCTCCAAAATGGTGTCATTTCTTTAAAATCCATTCTATGCTGCGACAATGATCGCGATTTGCTTGTTATAAAGCGAGGAACCCATTGCTCAAAGGAGTCTTCATCTTCAGAGCTCAAGCACCAAACTTCAGTGTCGTTCGACGTTTCACAGATAGCATTTTTGGCGGAGGGTGATGTTAGTATGTCAAAGGAGTTCCCCACTGACAAGATAACTTTGTATCTTCCTGTTGGGTTGCCAGTTCTTGTCGATGCACACGAATCCGATCATGTCTCGCAAAGTGAAAGTATTACTAATGTCGGATCACAACAGCCTCCGATAATAGAGTCATCTACTCTTGTATCTGCGGTGTATGTTCACAAGCGAAATATGGGGAAAACACCGGTCTCGTGTTGTCCTTACGGAGATATCTTTTCTTCACCATATTTTTCGTTATCAGCTTCCAAGGCTACACCTGACATTCTTATTAAGTGGTATCTTCTAGATACTCATGAGTGGGCTCGTTGGCATCAATATGCCTATGCTTTCAACATTAAACAGCAAAGTCATAAAGATGAGGCTGTAAGAAAAATGTTAAAATTTATACCAAGTACAACCAGATCAAGTGACGGGCACATTTCTGATATCGATGCCGTACCATTTGATTAATAATTTTATTATTTTTAAAAAAATTTCATTTTCAACTATCCTCTATCCTGCTTGAATTTAAACCATAAAGTGTTTAACAGTGTATACTGAGACTTATACGTAATTACAAAACATAATTAGCTAGTTCATTTGTGTGTGTTGCTCTCAATTTATTTTCATCGAGAAAAGGCAAACATATTCTTATACCTTTGTCACTATTTGGATGCATTGCTTACCTTTTTATTTTCCTTTGTTATTTTATTATTATTATTATTATCATGAAGAGTAAAACCTTTTGTGTGTTATTTTACACTTACAAAAAATTCATACTGCAAAGCAGCAACACGGAATATTAATTATATCGAATAACATCAAGAGTAGACAAGGAAACTAAATCCATCTACAACACCGATAACTTTTCTAAAAATGCTTCGTCTTTCTACTCTTTCCCACATGGCCCCTTCTGTCATAATGCTGAACAAAGGTCACGTCGTCAGTTGGATGAGTGGTCGTGGGTTCGGGTTTATCGAAGATATGGCTGACAAGAAGCAGCATTTTGTCCATTTTTCTGCCTTGCAAACCGAACCCGGCGGCTACCGCGCCCTTTCGGTTGATCAGGAGGTCGAATACGAGGTGACTTTCCAGGATGGCCGTACCCGCGCGGAGAACGTCACGGCTCCCGGGGGAGCCAAACTTCCTTCCGGCACGCGGCCTCCGCAGGGGCCAGGGATGGGTCAAGGGATGAGTCAAGGGATGGGCCGTGGTGGTGGGCGAGGGTTCGCGCGTAATGATGACAATCGTGGGCTTCGTAATAACCAACGTAGCGGCAATGGAGGCAATAGCGGAAACTTTAGCGATGATTTTTAACGTCCAGAAAGAAACAGAAATAATTAAACACGACGCTGATGACTACAAACGTACAGATATCTAAGAAAGAGATTATGAACTATATGCCAAGTCACTTAATTATATGGCTTCAGGGATGTTTCATTTATTTTAGACATATCTACACCTTTCTCAGCGGTTTCTCCCAATGAAGCACTATATTAGATGACCAATGCTGTTTATCCTTTCTTTGTTTTTTTCTAGTTAGCGTTTAAAAAACTTGATATTTTTTTATTGAAGTGATATAGAGTTTAGTATGAAATGGTGTAAATAAATAACGGGTTCATCACTGGGGAATAAGGGAAGATTTTTTGAGAAATTTACAGTACATGGGGGTTATGATATTATATATATATATATTGTTTCCCCCTGTTCTATATATTTTTTAAAAAATTATCTGATAATGAAAATGCCTCAAACGTTCTTAGCAGATAGCGAAAAATGAATTAAGCATATAGTAAGGTCAGATATCTCACAAAGTAATAAAAGGAATGCGAGTGATTACTAAATATAGGCAGATAGAGAAGCAAAGGTATCGATTAAATCGTACTTTTTGTATTAACAAAGTCTGAAAATGGTTCTCATTTCTTTATTCAGTTAATTCTATCACATTTCCTTCAGTTTTTTTTTTCATTATTATATTAATATTATTTTTCCTAGACTAGGGTAAAAAGTGTGCGTGTGTGTGTGGTTTCAAAAAGGAAGAGAGTAAGTGAATGCGATAATTGGTATACTTTTCCATACAAAACAACAACAACAATAACAAGCTAGCTGACCAATATCTTCGAATCACAGCAACTCTGAGCTCATAGTATTAGTTGGTAATTTTATTGCAAAGACTAGACACTTTTCTAACTGCAAAACATTTACTCTTTTAGAGCAAACAGCTGGGTACCAAAAGGGCAACGAATCGCATCCCATAGAGCCTATTTTCAGAAAGGCGGCATTCCATTTGTGTTATGTCCATGAATACAGATTCCTCAGGGGGTAATATTGGTATTAACAAGGATGGAGGTACTAATTCTACCGTGAATCATGCTTACGACGCTTTGAACGAGATAGAATTACTTCCTGAAACCCTCAGAAAGCAGTCAGGTCAATATGACAAAGAATGTAAGTCATCAAATACTAGCAATTACTCTGACATGTCGTCCACTATGATGAAGTATCAACCTTTGTTAACAGGGGTAAGCCATCAGGGCGGCGATATCTGTCATTGCCCACTGTGTTTACTTAGTTATCATATTTCATATTTGTTTTCCAACCAGCGTCGGTCGTCTGAGCATGTTCTTGCCTCATGGCCTTCCTCTTTTTACACGCAATTTGGCGGGGGTCTGCCCTCTCTGCCGCCAATTAGGCCATCAAATTTAAAAGTGTGCCCGGTCTATGAGACATATGGCTTTTGTCCCTACAGTCAGGCGTGCTACTTGCAGCATCCAGCTGTATTTAGTTCTAAATCCCTGACGCGAAAAACCGATTCAGCCGAAGAGGAGTATAAGTTGTTAGTGAAGAAGGCACAACGCCAGCTGGATGAGCCTCTCTGGCAGTGTGAGATCTGTGGATATTCCGAAATCGATGAAAACAGCCTGTCCGCGGTGGGGGAAATGTTCTATTACAGGTATTGTTCAAAGTGCTCTTTTTGTTGTTACTTTCCCTACATTACTCGGCTGATTGAGCACATTATTGACTCAGTAGGTGATGACTATCAAAGATTCAAAGACATAATTGACGATTATCGTATACGACTCCCGGACGAGTATAAAGTCCCATTATCGTTTGAGGCACACCGTATCGCGAATGTAGTATTTTCTTGGAGTTTAATTTCTCCAGTACAAGTCCGAGATGCGGTGGATTCTGCATACCGAATTATTCCTGACATGAGCGCCATCATCAGCATGGGCAGTGGCTCTGGATATATTGAGCATATTTTTAACCGTGTCACGAACGCAGGTGTGGGTATGCTTTCCGGTGATGAAAATAGTCCTCAGTATGTGTTGAAGCCAAGCCAATTCTCAACGAATAGCTTCATCGGCGTGAAGACCAGTTTCTATGGGAAAAAAATAGTTCCTATTTACGCCTTTGACGAACTTTTGCTCCGAAGGACCTACAGTGTCCATGTATCGATTGGCGGTCCGCTTTCAATTTTATCGATGGACTGTGCGAGGACTGTGCTGCTCTTGTGTTGGCCTCCTTTTGGATCAGCCAAAGATGAGCAAAACTCGATGAGTTTTGAGGCACTGGAGTACTTCACACAGCGCAACGGAAAAGTGGTTATTTACATTGGCGACATCGCGTCGACGGGCGATTGGCGCTTTCACCAACTTCTTCAGACGCACTATAAGTTAGTGCGAGATTATCCTGTGCGTAGGGAGGTGCGACGATGGTTGCCACAGGAGATGGGCCTGGTTTATGCTGGGAACGATACTGTTGGTGTTTATCAGTCCAGGAGTATTTCCTCCTTCATTCAACAAAATCGATATTAGGTGGGCTAACATGACAAACGTCACCTTAACAAGTAAACTATAAATTGTGTGTCATTTTTGAAAAGTGATTTTTAATTTTCCTTATCTAATCCGATTCTTTCTTAGGATGGAGCGCTACATTTTAAACTAAATATATCGATATAGATTTACTTGATTAACTTTCAGGTGCTGTTGAGCTCAGTGGGATTATCTGAGCATGAGGTTTGGCAAAATCTTCGGTGTGATACTTATTTTCCCTCTTCTTGATAAAAGCCTCTTGGAAAGGTATGCCACAGTTATGCATGCTTTATTTTGTCAATTTTGATATCTATGATTTCTTATAGTAAAATTGTGATGACACATTTCGTAACAATTGAAGCTATGTTTGCCTCCTTACAGCGTATATCGTAACTACCCTTGACCGCAGATATATAGATTAAACTAACATCTAGGTATATCGTGTCTAGCATTTTATTTCCTTTATTTATTTAGAGGAGGGGTATCTACATGTTTAAATTTTATATGTTCAGGTTTCTAAATAATTACTCTTTTTTTCTATTGGATATTTAGTTTATGATATAGAAATACAGAAGATATTTTACACATAAACGATAAGAATAAACCTGAGATAAATATATCAATCAATTTCTTCCATTTTTGCCTTTATATGTTATCTTGATTTTATTTTAGGAAAGCCCGAAATGTGTATGTTCTGATCTAACACAATACTACAGCTGCTATTTAAGTTGAATGATTACATCGTGTGGAATCACATGCAGTACTTATTTGATTGTTTCAAAGATGCTACTATGGGCCAGTCTGTATGTTTGTGGGATCAAGTAGAAGCCATTGAGAAAAGTTGAGACTGTGTTTGTGGGTAGCATTTTTAATCTGAGGATAGTGTTAAATCCCTTTTCAACAAGAAATCTGAATGCGGTAGGGATCGTTAGAGTGTTCAAAAGGGAGAGAGGGGTATGTTGTCCAATCCATGGTGCCTGATATTCCGTCCCCACTGCGGTTGCCAGATCAACTGTTGATGCTTTAAGGGTATATCTTTAAACTCATGATGACGGCTCCAATGAGTCAATTTCTATCCTGCCGCTTTCTGTATTGCAAAAGAAGTTTTCGAAAATTATCAAATATCCCAGAATACACGTTTATGATACCCTGTGGGTGGAGGGTTATTCTCTTGGAGTTGCTGGAACATACCAGGGAGCCAAGGCTTTTTGTTATTCACCATTTTCTATAATTCAAGCACAATTCCAGCAAGCAAAACTCATCGTAGGTAAGATTTAAATGGGATAAATACTTTGGTGTCAATGTTAAATTGTTCATGATTTTAGCTGATAGGAATCCTTCTCGGACCTTTTCTCCTTGTTTTTGTACTCCATTGTTTGCTTTAACCCTCCCCCCTCCCCCCCTATATATATATATATATATATATATATATATA